TAGCACAAGTAGAATCAGAAGGAGGCATAAATGTAGCATGTAGCATATAAGCGATTCCTTGCTCGAGTCTCGTTAGCATCAGGCGCGTTTGATCTGAAGCCACTTTTAGCTGTTATGAATCACAACTTGCAATGTAACTCACCACAAAGAGCTTTTTTCCCCCCAGTGTGTGATACTAATGCAGACAAAACAAGGCTGCACTGCAATGAGCCTGCAGGGGAAACTGGTTTCCCTTGAGTTTGTTGATTACTGCGTCTCATATTCTAATGCTTAGCAGTGCTGATACATGCAGAAATGCTGCGTGCTTTGCTGTGAGACTTAAGTGTTTCCAACTAAGTACAAGCCGGTTCCTTCTGATAGTCATCACCCACGCTGCATTCTGCACCATGATTCACTTGAACATCTACAACCAACTGCATCTGTTGGTGATATTTGTAATGCAGACAAACACATGTGAACTGAAGACGTAGTGCTGGTTTGGCAGGAAGCTGTTCCCAGCGTGTTTGGCAGAATTGTGGGACATACTTCCAAACTGATGGTCATGATGTTTGCCTTTGTCGGGCTTGGATTTAAACTCGATGTGAAGAATGTGCATCTCAGCAGTCTAAAAGACTCTGACGGTGCTTTAAAAGCCCAGACTTTCTTTTTCAGTTCTTGGTTTTAAACTCATGAAAAGCCTAAAATCAATCATCGAAGAGTAAATGCACCCAGAATATCAGTCAGTGGACCTGACAGATTGAAGGGCACCTTTGATTTGTCTTGGTATGGTATAGTGCTGGGACAATCAACAGTCATTTATCCAGCAAGAATGCCAAACCGCTTAGGCTTTGGAAGTATGACCCCATATTTCCTACTCTTTTTCTGCCTTTTTACAGACTGAACATGCGATAAAAGGTTTAAATGGGGTCATAACATCTTGCATTTTAGGCTCGTTGGAGAAAAGTTTTGATGGGATTGAACACATCAAAGTTTTGTGCTGTTCCTGTAAATCCATCTGCTCTCTTCCTCCATCTCTAGAGGGGGTTTTCACAAAGCAGGATTAGCAAGTTAAATTTTGCAAAATTTTGTTAGCAATTCTCAGTCTGCATAGATGAAACACATTACATAAACCTAATTTTCTCATTTAGTTTCATAGATTTGGATCAGTATTAGCTAGAGTGGACTAATCTTTCACAGATACGCGGGTTAATTCCTAATCTTAATTTGCAAAATTCTGCTGGGACTCATTGGATCTAGTTCTAGGTGTTTATAAAACGCTGCAGAAACCATAAATTTTATTATTGTTTTCTAATTCGTGTTTCTCCTTTGTGTGTGTCCTTTATGTGATTTTTGAGCTGACCCTTCTCTTTGTTGCTCACTGTTTTGGTCAGGACTAAATGGGTCAGGCCTGATGGAGCTTGTTGGAGCACACTGACCTGACCATCTTATATTTGCAGTGTGTTTTGCCACTACAAAGGACATCAAGTTCAGCGTAGCTGCTTTTTGATAATGGAGGTGTGCTCATCATGTTCTCTAATCTCTAGAAGGATAAGAGATCGTTCTGTGGCAGAATAAAACACAGAACTGGATGAAGAGAGCACAGATAACAGTGTTCGTCTCTAGCTGTAGTTTCTACTTCTCTTTAAATACGATTGCTGCGTGAAGTCTTAATTTCCACCACATCTCCGACCCCACACTTAACCCCTCCCCCAAGTTTCCTCACGTTCACACTCGACTTTCCCCCATTTCTCCCATCTCCTGGATATCTCCGTCCCCAAAACCCACCCCTCCATCTGTCTCCAGTGGTTGCCGTGGTTACGGTTTGTTCTGCTCATCAGGCACCTGCTGTGCCTAAACAGACTGTCAACAGTTTAATTACTCATACTTTCATCCCCGTGTCTTTCCTTACTTTCTGTACAGCACGTTTGCTCGCTCCTTCCACCTCTTTACGGGTAACCTCTTGGTAACTTTCTTTTGCTCCTTCAATCATTCTCTACTTTTATCTTCACACTTCCTTCCGTCATTTGACATCTTTTGACTTTCATCCTTTTTTTTTGTCATCCTTTCGTTGCTATCATTACATCCTACAAATCTACGTTCGACTACCAACTGTCTAATTACTCAATCTTTTATCATTCAGTCCCATCGGATTGATTCCATTCGTTCACACACCCCCTCCTCCTTGTGTCTCTGTTTTATTAGTGCAGTTTTTCTTCTCAGACATTGTTATTCCTCTATTCCCTTATCCCCACGCTCTCTTATCATCTACCTCTCAAGTGTCATCGCTCGCCTTTTCATTCTTCATTACTCAGTCTCTCTACATCCTCCGAGTGTTCCTCCCTATCTTAAACAGTGTTGTAATTACGCCTCTTCATCACACTATCGTTCTGTACCTCTCTGTCCATCATCTGCCGCTCTGATCCCTGATCCCGACAGCGGCCTGATGCCTCATCCTTTGATCCTCCCACTATTCCTTAACAGCTCAGCTTTTCACGTCTCTCCCTTCACCGTTTGTCTTCCCCTCTTTCGTCCATTCATCCATCAAGTGCCATCCTCCTGACAGTAACCGCGTTTCCCTTGTTTCAGGGTTTCAAACTTTCCACTTCTCTCCTTGATGGAAAGTTGGTTAAATCAAGCAGGTGTGGGACATCCTACATCCATCATAGGTTATGATCTTTGATGTTTAATCGTGCCTTTTTTTTTGTTTCATGTAATTATCATTAATGTTCATGACTTTTCCACTTATTTGGGTCCCTCATCCTCCTTTTGGCTCTTTGTTCATTAATCAGCTGTTCAGTGAGGCCTCGCCCCGCGACCAGCTACTGTCCTGTCACCATAACCAAGTTTGACTTTTTGCTATATTGAAGTGGTGTGCATAAGTATTTAGTAATGGGCTCTAATCTACGTTTAGCTGGCTTTTCTGGGGTATTTTTACCATTTCTAAAGATTAAAAAATGCATGAGAGCAAGTTTAATGTAATTATTAGCATATCAGACTTGTAGTATGCTAGTATAATTATAATCACCCAGCCTAGTCTTAATTCACAGGCCAGATGCAGTTCATACTGCAAAAATGTCTGGATTTGCATGTTGTTTGAGCTAGATCACACTAACTAGCACACAACCAACACTGCCCGGTAACCCATCAGTTAATAAATATATATAATATAATATATACACACATTTGGTTTGTTTATCTTGGCAAGTCTTGTATTTTGAACAGCAAGTGCCCCATCTGTTCACCTGCCTTACTGTTGCCTGAGAATGACGGGCAGGCACCATCGGTAACAAGAAGCCACGTGGAGCATTAACAACATAATTGAGAAATTGTTCTTTTATTCTGCTTTTATTTCACTGTTTGAGTCAAATGACACTCACCTGCTCTGTATTCTTATGAAACTCAGTAGCAGGAGAGCAGAGCCAATTATAGATTGATGATTTGCTTAATAGAAACCAAACAGCCTCTTTGTTGCACTTCAAAAGGAGTTAGTCGTCATTTCTTCTGCATTAGCTGTGCCCCCGTTCAAAGCGGGAGTCAAAACTGTAAACTATCAACGGAGCAAATAATGAGCCCTGTCTTGGTTATTCAGAAAGCTTATTGTTCACATGTGCCGTATTGTTTTAAGCTGAATCTCGTTTGTTTCTGGGATAATTAATGTTCCTCTAAGGTAGATTTTTCACTTCCTATAAGCCGGTACTCGATAATTGGCTCGTCTTTTTACATGGAAAAGCCCTATGGTACGTTGTATTCCCCTCCTAGTTATATCTCCAAATAGTTCATTACTGGTGTTAGTGATCTTTAACAGAGTTTTTGGGGCCATGCAAGGCTAATTGTAGCCAATGGTAACAGTAGAAAGCAACATAATGATGACCATCTGTCACTGTTAATTATTTCTTCTCATCTGTTTTTCTATTTTTAATTCCTACCCAGTCAATCCTCATTCATGTATTCTAGCCTGGATGTGTCTCTTTCTAACTTTATTATCTAGTCACTCATCTCAGGTCTTTTTTCCCCCCACTGCCTTCATTTTAATGTAGTTTCTTGCTTCTGAAATCTCGATTATACAACACTGTGCTCATCTTGATCCTTCCATTTCTTTGCTTTTTCACTGTTACCATAAGACCTTCATCACGTCACTGTGTATCCTTCCCTACTTCTTCCACTCATTGTTTTTTCCTTGTCACATGACAGTCTGTCACTGATTATAACTCACCCTCTGCCATCCTTCCATCTGACCTCTCTTAGCCTTCAATACCCACCACCACTATCATGTGCCACCCCTCCCTTTCCTTTTTCCATCTCCGCACATCACTATTTACCCTCTCTCCCTTCTCCGTTTCTTTCTCATCGCCCTCTTATCCTTGTCTGTCCAGTCTGTCTGATCTCCCGTGTCAGTGTGCCAAATCTGCGCGTTTGTGTGCGCACGCAGGCAAAGCTTACGTAAAAAGCCCCAAACGAAGGGAGGTTAGTACGGATCTGTGCTGCTTAGGCTGCTGCTGCTGACACCACAGACACACAGTCAACCCCACAGACACACACAGCACGCCAGGTGAGATTACATAAAGGCAAGGTGATGAAAGCCAAGCTGAGACACACCTAGTAGGTAATGTGATGCAAGACGGCTGGCTGACACTCAGACACACACAGATTCTCAATGGGAGGGTAGAGTGAAAAAGGATGTGAAAAGAATACAAGGATGATAAGAAAAGTTTAAAATTGGTGCCAAGTGGTAGATTTGACACTACTTCTAACTTCTGAATGCACTTTTGTTCATTTTGTAGTCGTGTGTGTGTGTGTGTGTGTGTGTGTGTGTGTGTGTGTGTGTGTGTGGGAGAGAGAGGGAGAGGGGCACAGAGCTCTGAGTTCCCAGTTCAGTGAGTGCTGGTGTGCACTGCATTGATTTACTCAATGATTCAGCACAAGAGAGCTAGCCATGCAGATATAGATTTTCCGTGTGTGTGTGTGTGTGTGTGTGTGTGTGTGTGTGTGTGTGTGTGTGTGTGGAATTGCATGGACATTACCTTTTCCGTCTGTGCGGCTCTATAATCCGAATCAGCTCCACATGTTATCCTGGTTTGAGGGTGTGTGTGTTTGTGTGTGTGTATGTTGCACAGATCTTGCCCCAGGTGTTTCTACTTATTCTGAGCCAGCACAGGGGGGTGGGAGGTTATTGTGTGCTTGCACTGAAACCTGTCCTACTCCACTCCACACTCACACATCCCCACACACATCAAAAGGAGACGGATATAGGTCAGTGTCAGACAACCAGAGAGTTGGAGAAATTCCAATCCCACGATATCCTCTTAGGCTTCTATAGATGAAGAAAACCTGGGAAATCCTGAATTACTCGCTCAATCCTGGCGCGGTATTCCGAAAAAAATCCAGGAATCCACTTTGCTTAAAATCCTATTTATGGCATCTTGATACGATTTCCTCATGGCTGGGTTCAACTTTTCTGTCTCAAGCAGTTCAGTCAAGTAAGAATCCAAGCAGTAGTCTTCACCTCCCCTTCTCACCACCTCTCTCCTCCATCACCCTCCCTTTGCTCCTTTTTTTGCCTCCACTCTCAGCTCCCCTTTTCTTTTATTCATTCATCTGGTCCTTTCTTCGTTCTTGTACACGCTCGGTTTTGATTCTTTTCACGCCTTCCTCTTGTCCCTCACTTCCAGGAGCGGTCTCCGGTGTGTCTCGGGGCTCTTCTACACTCGCTGCTGCATTTGTTCTCCCACGCTGAATTAGCCGTTTGTTGATGACCTTGGAGGCAAGTGCAGAAAAGGTGGTTTGGGAGTAACCTGGGAGATGGCTGGAAAACCTAAAACGAGAGAGACGTAGTGTAAATGCAGTGTGTACTGTGCATGTGCTCCATTTTGAAAACTCCTTTTGTGTGCATCATAAATTATAAATCAGCCTTTCGCTGCTCCACCCTGCTGACCTCCCTTTTCCCTCTGATGCCTCCACACCTCCCTGTTTCCACAACTTCTGTCACTCACACTTCTCTTACGGCCCCCTCCTCAACTTGCCACCCCTCATTTCTTTCTCCCTCGGTTTCCCACACTCCCTCTCTATCTCTCACCTGTCAGTCAGAGGGAATCGATAGCTCCGAGACCCTCTTAGCACTTCTCGGTAGGCTGCAATGGATGATTTTTGCGCTCACAAATGCACTCAGCACGCACACAGTCGTGCAACACATTTACACATGCTGGCGCACGCATCCAAGTAGCCATGCAGCGATACTCTCTGCAAGCACGCACAGCCTCTGCATCTCTCCGTTCACTTGCTCTGTCTTCGAATCTCACGCACAGACACACACTGAGCCTAATAAAACAACTGGTCTATTGATCAGTGGCACGAATGTCAGACGGTTCAAAAGTCCACCCGCCTCCACTCTCTGGCCTGTCAATCAAACCGGCACCTTTTAAGAAAGCAATCTCATTATCGTGCTTTAAATCTTTGCACTCTGTCAGTGTCTCTCGGCGAGTGTGTTCCTTTCAGTGTGCATCTATATGTTAGTGCCGCAGCTACATGTATGTTACAAGCCCACTGGATTTTTTTTTTTTTTTTTTTTACATTTAATTTTTATTATCTGCAATTCATTTCTTTTCGTTCCAGTTTCTCCCTCTTCTCCTCCTGTGCGCACTTTGCTACTTCAAAAGCACAGTAGAGCTATTTTTCTGTTTTTCGAGTCGTCTCATTGTTCTTTCATCTTCATCTAGCATCTTTCACCCCTGTTTTGCCCTCTGTGAGAAAAAAAAGATGTATTTACTAACCTCGTTTTCCGGATCATTCCACCACCATGACTCCTGAAGCCGTCACATTTCTCCGTCTCCGCGGCTTTCGCTCTCTCAGCTCCGTGGAAAAACACCCATCTCTCTCTCTCTCTCTCTCGTCGGTATCTCTCTCTTCGTCTGCCTCTCTCTCTCCCGTTGGTCGTCCCCTCACTCGGTCGACAGCTGCAGCGCTCTGTCTGCCTCCTCTGTCGCTCTTCCGTCAGGGCTGTAGGCTGATTGAATTTTAAGTCATGTTAATCCCACAGAACAGGTACTGAATGAAGGAGGGGACAAAGAAGGGAGAGAGAAAATAACAGAATGCAGAGAGTAAGCTGGCTTGTATTTTTAGAAATCTCTTCTCTCCTCAGGAAGGGATCTTTCTTTTACTTGTCCTGCTTCCACAGAGTCACTTGACTCTTGATTTTGTTTTTTCCCATTTGTCTGCATCTCATCTTCTTTTCTTTTGTCCTTATCTGGGGAAGAAGTGTGGGTTTCTCATCGAGCAGCAAAGGAAAGCGCTGTGATCGGTCTCCGGCAGCGTCAAGCATCAGACTGAGAGAGTGTGTGCACAAGAGAGAGGCATGTAGATGAGGAGCAGGACAAATACAGGGCTGAGGTGTAGAGGGGTGGGGGGAGAGGAAGGAGGAAAAGAGACGGAAGATGTGCTATAGGAGGAGGAAGAGCCAAGATGAGGAGTTGGGGATGGAGAATGTGGGAGACTAACAATGAGGAAGAAGAGTGATGACAACGACCTACACTGGCTCAATGTAGTTAATTTAAAATAAGTAAAAGGATGCACTTTCAGAAAAATGTGTGCTCAGATGTAGATGTGGCACCGTGTTGTTTTTAGTCCATTGGTGGGATTTGTTATTCTATATATAGGAAATGCACAGAATAAGGATTTGGCACGCATTGCCCCCTCCCACCAGTTAGGTGTCTGTACTGGACCCCGTCTTTGTTATAAAGCCAAAGGTCAAAGAGCACTAATGAGGCGGTTTACTACTAATATGATTAAAATTGAGATACTTTAATATTAGTCTTCTGTTTCATTACATTTCACAGAGTTGGAGTTTACTGGCCCCATTGTTCCTTTATAGCTGCCCAATTCTTCACAGCTTAGATTTTTAAAAAAGTGCTGGAAACGTCCCTCAGAGATTTTACGTCTATATTGACATGATGACATCACACAGTAGCTGCAGATTTGTCAGCTGCACATCCATGTTGGGGAATCTCCAGCTCCAGTTTTAGATGACTTGAGTTTGTGACCGTGTCTCTTCCTACTGGGAGCGGCGTCAGAAGATAGGTGCACTGATCATAAGGGATGGACATGATCAGCAAAGGTACTCAGGTGGGCTGTAGTGTTTAAACAATGCTCAGTTACAGCAGCAGCCTGAACCGCTGGTACAAAGCAGGATGGATCCATGCTTTTCTTTCTGTTTATGTCCAAGTGTGACCCGACCATCCAAATGTCACAGCTGATTGAGGCTCATGAACATTTTTACACTCTTTTGTTGTCCAATTTTGGTGAGTCCATGTAAATAATAGCCTCAATTTCCTGTTCTCACCTTAAGAGTGTCGCCCATCGTCGTTTTTTTGCTGCTGCTTTAGCCGATCTGCTTCAACCTTCCACATGTTGTGTTCAGAGACGCTCTTCTGCATTTGTTATGCTTGTTTACAGCCTTGGTTATAATGAGCTGATACTTAAGTTACTGTTGCCTTCTCATCAGCTAAGATAGTCTGGCCATTCTCCTCTGACCTCTGGAATCAACAAGGCATTTTTGCCCAGAGAACTGCTGCTCACCGGATATTTTCTCCTTTTCCGACCATCCTCCGTAAATCCTAGAGATGGTTGTGTGGGGAAAATCCCAGTAGTTCAGCAGTTTCTGAAATCCTCAGACCAACCTGTCTGGCACCAGCACTATGGCACACTGATAGCCACTTAAATCACATTTCTTCCTCATTCTGACGCTCGGGTTGAACTTGATCAGCTCTTCATGTTCACATTTTCTAAATGCATTCAGCTGCTATCATGGGATTAGATATTTCACATACCTTTAGATATTTGCATTAGCGAGTGAATGTACACAGACAGACGGAGATGTATCGAGATATTTCTCTCTCGATATATCTGTCATAGATATCTATAGATAGAGCTCTATTTATCTATAGATATCTCGATATATATCTATATACAGAGAGATGGATATCGAGATATTGATACAGAGAGATGGATATCGAGATATTGCGATATCTAATGCATGTTATCTACTCTCACATTTACATTTCTACATGCAAGCCTAGAAAACCTTTTTCTCTATATCTCACTTCAGCATGCTGGAAAGAATAAGGAGAAGTTCTCCCAGGTTTCTCTTTTCCACAGTGTGCACAGTTATTCATTTTGGCCTTCCAGGTATGAAGCTCTTACTGAGTTCCGGGATTTTTTTTTTATTTCTTTTTAATATATTTTTTTTTTACTTTGCAAAATTGAGAAAAAAGTAGCCATGGGGTTAAACTAACTACATGCAGGTGTGTTTGCAAAGTGTTTCTTGCTGAGAAAGGAAATACAAGGAGTGAATTGCACAAATGGGGGCAATAATGCACATTTTCAGATGGTCTCCATGCAAATGCAAGCATAATTAGCACTTAATTGTATACATAAAAGTGACATAAGTAGTTGTGTGACAAAATAAGAGACCTTAGGAGAGAAGCTAAGGTTCCGCATGCTGCGTCTCTTTGGTTTGCTATAGATTGAAGCATACAATGAGGCCCGATCACCTTCTGTTAAAAAACAGGCCTGAAAGATTGTGGTGCAGTCATATATAGAGAAGTACTGATAAAACATATTTCGGATAGAATATCTCCAAACTGCAATTGCAGGATTTCGTAGTTGTAGGGGTATTTTTACACAAAATGTGATGGAGGGTTGGGTGGACAGAAGGAAGGAGAGATGGAGGAGGGGGAGGAAAAAAAGACGGCTGGTGTGACAAGGGGAAGCGAAGTTTTTACCGCCTCGAGCAATTCTCAGTCGGACCAGGATGAGAGCGGGAGCAGACGATGATGATTAAGAGAGAGAGGACGGGGACGTAGGGAAGGGGCCAAAGATCTCTGAGGGCATAAAGGAGATAAGTGAGGAAGAGAGGGGTTACTGAGAGATAGAAGAGAGGGCTGGATGGAGTGATAGGAAGGCGATAGGAGAGAGTGCAGCTGATACTACTTCAAACGGTGGTCGAGGGCTTGATTTCCCTGCCGCGCTGATAGCTGCTGGGAACGGCCGTGAAATGGAAACCATCTTCGGGCGCGTGTATGTGTGTCTGTGTGTGTCCCATTACTAAGGCAGGACCTAAAACATCAGAGCTATTGGATGTTGGAATTAAGTCACTCCCAAATTTCACATAAGCGCAGTTCTGTTTTGCAACAAAATCTCACACTGGAGATGAAACTTCAGAGAGAGATGGGAGGAACGAGATGAGGGATGGAGATGTGGTTCTGTTATGGGTGAATTGGTTTTTCGTGTATCTAAATTTCAACCCAAGACTCAATTTTTTGTTCATCTTTCACAATTTATGGCCCCCTTCCTGTTTATCTCCTTTCTTCATTTCCATTTCAAGCATTTGACTCCCCATCATTCATTTTTTTTCTTTCTTATATCTGTCGCTCCTTGATCTCTCCCTCTTGACTTTTTATTTATTTATTTTCCCTGCTGCTTTGGGCCAACATATTTTTAACTTTGTAAGCCAAACCTCCCTCAAAGGAAGGTCCAGCAAGGGGATGTTTGATATATTATTTCATCCAGTCATTTAGAGCGGCCAGTTGATGGCCCGTTGATTCACAATTAATCAAACCTCTAGTGTTGTAGCACCCAGTTCTCTTCCCGGAGCGAGCGACCTTGCTGAACGAAATAAATGACATGACCTAATGCTGGCTAACGGATCAAGTGAGTCAGGAGAAACTCTCATTACTGGCACAGAAGTTGGTTTATATACATCCCACAATCAGTGCACTTATGAATAAAATACAATGCATTTTCACATAAAGTAGGGCGAAGGTGCATCCTAAGCAGATCATCTGCTTCTACAGCTCAATCTGGTTAAAGTAAAGCACACAAGGGGAAAGTCTTTTTTTCCTTCGGACTGAGAACTAAGCAGAAAGATTGGCAGGATGTGAAGTTCACTCTGAGTAGCACTGCACTTAATCAGAAAGAGGCCAGACCTGTTCTGGTTTGGTCAGGCCAAATTAGCCCTCAAAGTGAAAACGGTTGCAGGGGAGTCGGCCTACTGACCCGCCGCTGAACACATCCATCGATGTCTCGCTTTTGGTTCAGTGGTCAACTCACTAGTGGTGTGTGCCATCAGTTGCATATTTGTTTCTGACGGGAAATTAAAGCAGCATGTTGGATTTAGCAAAGGAGTTTGTATTTGAACATCCACACCTCTCCAAAATTGACAGAAAGCAATGAGCTGTGAAGAAGACGAACAAAATCTAATGTAGATGCGAGCACCATAAAGCTAAATAAGACTTTCCTGTTTTTACTTTCTGCTTTTTTCCTGTGTTCAAAGATTTGGTCAGTACTTCTCACAGTGCAATAAAAAAAAAAACAGAGCAGTGTCCCTGCCTAGAGGTTATGCATATTCGTGCTTGCTACCATCTCTTTATAGAGATGAGCAAGTAGCTGCCACTGCTGACTCAGAGCAGCCCACAGTCTTTGCTGTTTTCAGAGATGCGACTGCCATCTGACCACAATGATTTCTCCCTTGTAAAGGTTGCTCAGGTCCCCATCTGCTAATTCATCCTGCATCCAAATACACAGTGTTAGAACAGACTTAAAAGGATTTTGCTGAATGGCTCTTCTTAAACAATTGAGTAGATGTGGGCTACCATCAAAGAGAAAAGGTGAAGTTTGGTCAGCACTGTGCAGCTTGAATCAAATATGGAACCTTGACAGCAGCTGCAGAACACGTCCTTGCCGGCAGCAAGTATATAGGTGTGTTTTTGAATGAGATGGAGGGGGGGGGAACTGAAAGCCATTTTCACCCTTGATGATTTAGATTTTGTAGTATTTCACACTATGGTGCAAAGGTTTTATGCATTTCACATGTTTAGGTTCTTTTTCTCAATGCAGCCTTAAGTCTTAAATACATTCTTCTGTAGACTGTGAGTCATACTGCCGGCATTCTTAAGCACTTTAAAATAAGCTGGATCTAAGCGATCTGTTCCTCTACAGGACACAGCAGCAGGAAATTGCTCATCATTTTGCCTGGACAGCAAGGAGTGGCAGCACTGTAATGCAAAGAGCCTGTCAGAGGCGCACACAGTGGCTGAGATGAGGCAAAGCGAGAGGAACTAGGAAGTTCATTTTGCTCTTTCAGGTTATTCCACTGAGAGAGTACTGAAACATGCTTGACTTGACTCGTATGCAGCAGTGACAGATCCCTTACTACAATCTGTAATTATTGGACACAAGTGGACAGATCAGGTAAACGGGTAACATGTTAATAAATTGTAATATCTCAAAAAATCAGTGTTTCTTAGGCCAGCTTGAAATACCTGCGGTGATTGCCTTATCAGTGCACCCACCGCCAATCCAGTCAATTCAAGATGCTTGTGTCTT